TGGGGCTGTCCTACTCCTGTCCCCCCACTGGGTGTCCTGTGGACTTATCTGTTTTTTCCTGCCACCCAGGCTGGAGTGCAGTCGCATGCTCACGGCCACTGCAACCTTAACCTGCTGGGTTCAGGCGATCCTCCTGCCTCAGCCTCCCAAGCAGCTGGGACTATAGGTGTGCACCACCATGCCTGGCTAATTCTTTTGACTTATTGTAAAAATGATGTCTTGCCATGTTGCTCAGGCTGGTCTTGAACCACTGGGCTCAGGCAATCCTCCCACCTCGCCTCCCAAACTGCTGCAATTACAGGTGTGAGTCACTGTGCCAAGCTCAGGCTGGTCTGTCTTGAGGCTGGTCTCTCTAGGGCTGATTCCACACCAGACACCCAAGTACAGTTTCTTGTGGGGCAGATGTGCTCCCTCTCTACACGGCAGGGCTCAGGCCCACGTGGCCGCTCCTCCCTGGGGCCGCACGCCCAGCACACGTGCTGCCTCTGGGACCCTCTAGCCAGCCTCGCGGCCCCCCCCCACAGAACTGCTTCCCCAGCACAGACCACCACCACCCCCACGGCCTCTGCTCGCCGTGGATTCTGAGGGGGCAGGCCCCAGGCAGGGGCTGGACGGGGGAGGCGCGGCACCTCATCCCTGGAGAACTCGGGGGCATTGTCATTGATGTCATCGACGGAGATGATGGCCGAGGCAGTGGCCGTGAGGCCGTCTCCAGACATGTCTGCCACCTGCAGGGTCAGGTTGTACACGGCGACCGCCTGGGGACACCGAGACACAGGGTCAGAAGACAAGGCACCCAGGGTCCAGAGACCAGCCTCCTCGGGGCCAGGCAGGGTGGGCTCAGGCCCTCCAGGACAACCCCATGGGTGTCAGAAGGCCCCCAGCGGCTCTGAGAATCCCGCCTGCTCCCAGCACATGGGGCCCGGTGACACCATTGTTAACCATAGACTACCCCAGCCAATGAGTGGACAAGAGGTCGGCTATGGTGTTGGATAAGCATTTACAGAGCACCTACTGCATGCCGGATGCCTAAGGGCACCAACAAGCTGGGGGTCCTCGCCCTGGGGAGCCATGTTTAGTGGTAGGGACGGAAATGGACAAAGACCACATAACACAGCATGAAGCCAGACGGAGCCCCGTGCGGGTGGCCTGGGGAAACCAAGGAGGGCTTCCTGGAGGTGCTAACACAAGGAAGATCTCAGGGAGCACAGGAGCCGGGTGGTGGTGGTGGTGGGACTCTGGTGGAGGCCGCTCACTCCTTAGAGCGTGAGTGACTCACAGGGGCCATTGTTAGGAAGCCTAAGGGCACTTGGAAAGGCTCCATCTGCACCTGGAGCCACGCTTTATGAGTCTCACACTGTCACTCAGGCTGGAGTGCAGTGGCACAATCATAGCTCACCACAGTCTCAGCCTCCTGGGCTCAGGGGATCCTACTGCCTTGGCCTCCCGACTAGCTGGGACTACAGGTACATGCCACCATGCCTGATTAATGTTTCGGGGTTTTTTTTTTTTTTTGAGACTTGGTCTTACTATGTTGTCCAAGCTGGTCTTGAGCTCCTGGGCTCAAGTTAGCCTCCTGCCTCTGCCTCTCAGGTAGCCGGTGTTACAGGCGTGAGCCACTACACCAGGCTAGGGGGTGGGAAGGCTTCTGGCAAGGCAGCGGTGGAAAGCACACTGAGCACTTGCCAAGCCAAGGGTCTGTGGCACCCTGTGGGACACCACTCCCTGCCCGGGTGAGGGTGTAGCCGCTGCCGCACTCATGGGATCCGTCCCACACCCAGGGCCCCATGAGTGGTTGGTGTCCCCGGCCAGGCAAGGCTCTGTGGAACCTGCCATGGTGCCCGCAGGGCGGGGCCCACCTCGCGGTCCAGACCCACGTGCACCGTGCGGATCTCGCCCGTGAGCTCATCGATGCTGAACAGCTGGGGGCTGCCCTGCCGCAGGATGGAGAAGCGCAGTGCCGCGTTGTCCGTCTCGGGGTCATCGGCGTCCGTGGCCTCAGCCCTGGTCACGTAAGTGCCTGGGAGGGGTGGGGCGTGAGGGTGGCTGAGGGGGCACAGACATCCGCTCCACAGGGCTCGGCCACGGGACTGCTGGGCCGCACTGTTAGTGACACTGAGGCCACCAGTGTGTGAGCCCCGAGTCCAGGTGCTCCTTGCTGCCCTTCAGCCTGCGCCATCAGCCGCCCACTGCCCTGCACACCGAGGCTGGTGCTGTTGGGTAGAGCATCCAGCACGGAGCTGGTGCTGCGCCCAGCGTGGCAGAGCTGGGGGTGCCCGGCAGACCCAGGAGAGAGCCCAGGGCCATAGAAGACACACGCGCCAGCTGCTGAGGCTGGAGGCCACAGAAAGGGGAGGATGTCCCTCTCCTGCTGAGCTCGAAGCCCGACCCCTCCCCTGACTCGGGTGGGTGAAACACTAAGCCAGTGGGCTGGGCGGCAGGGTGGGCTGCCGGGCTTGCGGGGAGCGGCTCTGGGCCAGCTGGGCCACCCCAGCAGAGCAGGGCACAGAAGTCCTCCAGCTTGTGGCCTGGTGTGGTGGCTCATTCCAGCACTTCTTTGGGAGGCCAAAGCAGGAGGATCGCTTGAGCCCAGGAGTTTGAGACCATCCTGGGCAATGGAACGAGAGCTCATCTCCACAAAAGGTAAAAAAAATTAGCCAGACATGGCGGTGTGTGTCTGTCGTCCCAGCTACTGGGGATGCTGAGGTGGGAAGATCACCTGAGCCCAGGAGGTCGAGGCTGTGAAACAAGCAAAGACCACATAACACGGTGTGTGGCCAGAGAAAAAAAAAGTCCTCCAGCTTGGCTGAACTGGGGCCAGGGAAGAAGAAACAGCTGAAGTTAGAGCCAAAGCCTGAGCCAGGCTATGGGGCCCAGACTCGAGGTCAGTGCTGTGGCCAGGCTTCTCCTCGGGCCACCATGGAGGCCGGCGGCTGTGGCTGGGGCCTGCAGGTCAGCCCAGGCTGGGTGAAGTAGGACTTGGAGGTGCCTCAGTGGAACCCGAGTGAGCACAGGTGGGGGGGGCTGCTGTCTCAGGATGACCCCCAGCAGGCAGGGGAGGGCATTTGCTGTTGGGGGAGGGCAGGACCCCTGAAAAAGCCCACCCTGGGGCTCTGATGTTTGGGTTTGAAATTGAGACGAAAATGGGAAGTGGGTTGAGGTGACCTGCCTGCTGGCTTTCAGACCCTGAAATTCACATCAGGCAGTCCTGTCATCTACCTACCCCACCGCCACAGCCACCTTATGGGCCCTCACCTGGGGCTGCGCCTTCCAGCACGTGGCCCTCGAACTCCTCCTGCAGGAAGGCCGGTCGGTTGTCATTCTGGTCTACGACCACGATCTCCAGGTCCGTGGGGTCCTCCAGGGCGGACCCTCCCAGGTCCAGGGCAAAGGCTCTGAGCTGCTCAAACAGAGAGCCAGGCTGGCACTGTGGCCCCTTGTGGCAGCTCCCTCCAGGGCCACGCAGCAGAAACATGAGAACAGACCGTCTCCCACAGGTGGAAGAAGCTTAGGTGGGTGTGTGCTAGGGCCACAAGGACAGTCCCTGCAGGGGAGCTGCCTTCTCTGCAGACAGGCGACTGCCAGATTGCCCTTTTCACCTTGGCTGCCAGGAAGCTCACGGCTGATTCATAAGTGACTGAAGTCAAGTCACCCTCCCACTAGGCCTTCCACTCACTTCCTCTTTCTCTGCGTGGTCTTGGCTCCTCCTGAGTCTCTCTCTTTTTTTTTTTTTGAGCTGGGGGGTCTCACTCTGTCACCCAGACTGGAATGCAGTGGCATGCTCATGGCCACCCCAGCATTGACATGCTGGGCTCTGGCGATCTTTCTGCCTCAGTCTTCCAAGTAGCCAGAACTAGAGGCACGCAGTACCACACCTGGCTAATTTTTTTTATTGTAGAGATGAGGTCTTGCCAAGTTGTTTGGGTTAGTCTGGACCCACGGGCTCAGGCAGTCCACTCGCCTCAGCCTCCCAAAGTTCTGGGATTACAGGCTGAGCCACCAAGCCCGGCTCTGAGTCTATTTCAATTTCCCCATGCACATGCATTTTAAGTGGCCTCTATCCTTCTGGAAAATGAACAGGCAGGTTAAAAAAAAAAAACTCTGACAACTTTCTGTGTAAGGGAGCCAAAGACAAGGTTAGGGTTTGGGGGGGCTTGCCTGGCTCCTCACCAGAGCCCACTGCCCTTCCTGGAAGACCCCACCACCCCAGCCCCCAAGGGGGTTGGTTCCCTGGCCCACCCACCCCCAAGAACTGTGGTTGCCGCTGGGAGCAACACTATTTGGGGATTCTTCCAGGTACCCTGTCCCCACCAAAGGGGACTAGGATGGGGGTAGCCACAGTTAAGCCACACGGCTGCCACGGGGCTACAGCCAGGCTCCCTCGGCAGAACCAAGCCCTCCTCCACCAAGCCTCAGTCTGCCCATCTGTCAAATGGGAACGCAACCCCGAGTTTCCTGGGGCTGCAGGTCCCAGACCCAGATCCCCGCCCCCGCCCTGGGGGTGGCAGGATCTTGCAGGGGCAGCCCGTCGCCCTGGGAGGGAGAGGCGCGGCCCGTCCCCCAGGACCTCACCCGGAAGCGGTCCGTCTGCTCCCGGTCCAGCGTGGCATTGAGGAACACTTTTCCCGTGACTTTGTCAATGGAGAAGATGCCACGCGGCTCCTCATCCACGCCGGGTCCCTGGATGCTGTAGAGGACGCTGCCCAAGGCCTGCTTATCGGACTTGATCTGGGGAGGAAGTGGGACTGCGAGGGGGGCGGGGCAGGGGCAAGCACCCCTCCACAGCGCCAGCCCCCCGTCCCTTCCCCCACCAGGTGGGGCTGGAGCTGGACCTTAACTTGGCCCGTGGGAGGGTGCCCATCTGAGCCCTTGCCTCAGGCCACAGGGCGCTCTCGAGACCTGGATCTCCTGACACCCATCGAGTGTGAGAAGCTGCTGCCCACGGGCACTGTTCACCTGATGTCTACTGGGGGTTGGGGCCACAGAGCCGTGGCTGAGGGAAGGGTGTCCACCACGGGGCGGGGGGCTCAGGGGCCATGTAGGGTGGGCAGGTGAGCCCTGCAAGGCCTCCAGTCCTGCCCAGGAAGGTGGCGCCGGGTCTAACGGCAGGCGGGGCTCCAGGGAGCTTTGGAAATGGGGGATCCGCAGGGACCCTCAACCCGGCCCCCTCCCATTCACCTGCGCCAGAGGGGAGGGGGACCTGCGGGGACCCTCCCTCAGTCTGACCCCTCCTGCTCACCTGCACTGGGGGGATGGGAGGCCCATGGGGAGCCCCCCAGCCCGGCCCCCTCCTACTCACCTGCACCAGGGGGTAGGGGAGGTGCTTGTGGTTCTCCGACACGCTGATTGGGGGTATGACCCAGGCTCTCCGCATGCGGCCGTGTGTGGGCGTCCGGCGCCAAGGGTACAGTATGCTGGGCCTCGTCAGCCCTGGGACCTCCAGAGATGGGCCCAGGCCCTGTAACAAAGACGGACGAGGTCACACAGCCACTCTCACGATCCCCACAAGCCAGACACAGGGCCCAGGAGCCCAGGGCACCATTTCTCCTACCAAGGGTGGTTCCTGGGGGAGGCAAGACCCTCCGGGGCCTGTTGGCAGGGGTAGCGGCAAGGGCACACCGGCCCCAGCCCATCAGACTGAGCCGGTGGACACACCCCAAATGTCGAGCCCTCAAAGTCCCTTACAGCTGCCCTGGTGGGGAGGGACGGTGGGACCCGTGCATCTCATAGCCCCAGGGTGCCAAGCACCCCACATGTGCTGGGAGAGGCTCGGGGGCAGTGGCCTGGCCAGGAGGTTGGAGGGGTGGGGGTGCTTGGCAGGCAGCAGGGTGGCTCTTGCTCCCCAGGAACTGGAAGGAGGGGTGGGGCAGGGGTCAGAGAGCAGGGGCCAGAGGATGATTCACTGCCTAAGGCCTGTGTAGGGCCAGCACAGGTGGGCAGGAGGTGGGTATGGGGTCTCCACTTCCACATGGCTGACTCTGCCAGGGATGAGGCTCTTCCAGGGGCTAGGGCGGGGGGCATGGCATGTGGCCAGCTCCCTCCCTCCCCACAACTCAAATTCTTTTTTTTTTTGAGTTGGAGTCTCACTCTGTCGCCCAGACTGGAGTGCAGTGG